CGACTTTGGCTCACTCTTTTCTTGTGGGACCATCTGCGGGTGTCGGTGGTCGTGCGAAACGTCTCGAATGTTCGCGTCTGGGCTGTTTCCGAACCCCCCCCTCCCCCTACCCCCCTCTCCCTTCCCCTTTGTCGGGTATGTCCGTGCTACACTCAGCCACTCGCCATTTCCTCCTCCCTATTAGTTTTCAAGGAAGCCGTCCCCATATTGTGCAGAAAGCCGGCGCTTGTTTGACTTATTCATTCTCTTCGAAGCCGCTCAAGTAAACACGAAGGCAAGGTTCAAGTGTAATTGTCTTTTTCGTAGATAGCCTCAAGAAACGCCCCAATGGAGGGACACTTTATTGTGGAATGAATGCAGTGCTACAGTTGAAGCGATGTTTTTTTATGCGTGCGGACTGGTCTTCCACCGTTGGCGTTTCGGACACAGAGGTGGTCGTCGTACACTCGTAGAGCGCCAGAAGGCCTCACTTTGTCCCCTTTCCCCATATATTCTTGCGAAGCTGTTTGACCTGCTACGTTTAGCTCTGCTTCCGAGTATATCTCATAAGGTAATTATGCGATCTGTGTCCCCATTCGTTTCGGAGTGAAAAATTCACGAAAACTTTCACTGACGTGTGCCGATGCCAATTTTTAAAAACAATTGATTCCAAATTATAACGAATATTGCAAAAAAAATAATTATGCGCATCAAAATGCTGAAACGGCGAATGACGCAAAAAAGAAACACCCTTCGGGTTTAAATTCTTCTAATTTCTGTTTACCTTTCCTTTCACTATACTGTAACAAGTAAAACAATACTGTTTTGGTTTGTAATTTATTGTGTCCAATTTTTGTACTGTAACAAGAAAGTAACGGCGTTACTGCTTTTGCAGTAACTGTAACTGTAACACGTTACTTTTTGAAGCCGGTAACTGTAACTGTAACAGCTACTTTCCCCCCTAGGTAACTGTAACTGTAACAGTTCCTTTCCCCCCTAGGTAACTGTAACACTGTTACTTTTTACTGATAACATGCCCATGACTGCTCAGAGGTGCCGATAAAAGCGTGACTGTGCAGAACGCCTCAAAGAGCGGTGTTAATTCTGTGGGGAGAATGGAGACACTCACTTGATCAAATGACGTTCTAGTGAACGCCGCACTGAAAGACACTTTAGCAAATAGTTGGCCGCCGCGAAGCGGCGTTTACGGGTAAGCCAAGTGGATTTTTTGTAATGAGCCACCGTAGGGTGCCTTCATGTGCGCTTCGCATAGAGTGATGCCAACTGCCTGTTTCCCTTTCCCACACCCTCTTCCACCGCCATTTTGTTCCTCTCGTTGTTTCCTCGTGCGTTAGAAAGTGGCCTTTGGGTCCATCGGTCCTGCCATCCGAGGGGGAAAATGCTAATCCTCCCTCCGTGGGTTCCACAACGCTGCTCCGAACTTGTGAGATAAGCTGCTTGTTTCCGGGAGGGTTAAGCCCCACGGATTATCTCCGAGAACCAAAATGGCTGCTGGTTTGTCGGCGAGTGGTATTACAAAGGGTGGCATCACCCTAGCAAAGCACACATAAAGGCTCCATAAGCCACCGCAGACTGCCGCCGCGAAGCGGCATAAGCGTAGCGCGGGGGTTTGGGTTAACACTCGCCCCCGTTCTTCGCTAAAACGTTTATTCGCTCAAATGTCGCTGTTCGCTAAAACGTCATTCGCTCAATGGACCCGTGGGAGGCAGAATGATGAATTGCCCATTCCCGGAGTTCCCTTTTGAAACTCCAAGCAGTCTTCCAAGTCTGAGCTTTCAACTGCGTCTGCGCTTTCTACCTAGCGCAGGCTCTCAAAATGGCATTTTCTTCGGCGATATGTTATTGCCATTTCGACAGGAGCACTGATTCAACTCACAAACCAGTGCCGCGTTCCTCATCAGCGGAACTCTCTCCTCCGCCATCAGCAGAACTCTCTCCTTCATCAACATTTAGATCGCTCGAACCTTTACCCACGTCATCAACAATCCCTTAACACCAGCAAGCAGCGGGTCCATATCACATGAAGGAATGACGTTTTAGCGAACAGCGACATTTGAGCGAATCAACATTTTAGCGAATAAAGGGGGTGCGCGTTAACCCATCCGCCGCGCTGCGCTTACGCCGCTTCGTGGCGACAGTCTGCGGCGGCTCATTACAAAAATGTGAACCCATTTGGACCACCCGAAAACGCCGCTTCGCGGCGTCCGACTATTCGCTAAAGCGTCATTCGGTGAAACGTGGGCGTTCGCTAAAACGTCATTCGATCAAGTGAGTGCCTCTCTTCCGCCATGTTACTGTTTATTTCGCACCTTCACCTAAAGTTCAAAATAGGGGTGTCGCGAGTCGGCCGAGGTTCGAGTTCGACCAGGTTCGACTTTTTCTAACTTTTAGTGGAAAGTTCGATGAACCTTGTATGCGGAGGGCAAGTTCGTCTGCTTCTTGCGCAGGGGGTAGCGGTGACGTCAGAACGCCGAGCCCTGATTGGCTGATCGCGACCCCCCTATCTGAGCGTCGTCTGCTCTTTTGCAACGTCGTCTGCTCGCAACGCCGTCTGCGTCTGTCTTACCTTTCCTGCGACTTACGGAAGCGCAGAGGCCAGATTCACAAAACGACCTTACGCCAAAATTGTGCGTAAGACAAAACTTAAGAACAAATTCGTATTCACGAAACTAAATTTTCGTAAGTTTTGCGCAGGTTACGACGAAATACTACGGCACCTCCGAAGCTGTCTTACGCACTTCTTACGATCAGATCAGCATGGCCGACAGCGTCGCGGTCGCGACGACCCACGGACGTTTATTTTTCTACCTGAGCTTCTGACGCGTCCCGACTTCAAGCAGCAAGAAAAAATTAAGAAGTACTTGAAACAGACCACGACGAACAAGAACGCTGGATCCACAAACACCCAGGAAAAGCTCCAACGGCCTCGATTCCACCGAACGCGACCAAACGAGCTGGGCAGTTAGGCCTAGCAGGCGCTCCGCGACTTGGCGACCGTCTGCCCACGACCGGCTGGCGTGCTGAATGGAATATGCCCGCACGACCCTTGTGAACCCTTCCCGTATTATACTTTGATCGCTGACCTCAATTTTAGATTAAGAGGTCAATTTCTTCCTCTTGTTATCTCCTTGCTTCCCGAGGCAACGGTGACTCTCGCCGGTGAAAAAGCGGTGAATCTCCGACAGACGCAGAAAAGGTAAAGCAGCCATCGCTTTGACTAGCAGACGTAAAGCAGACGACGTTAACTGCGCCAACCCGCCGACGCCGTTAAAGAGTGAGGGGACTCCCCGCACACGAATGGAGGGAAAAAGTATTTGGGAGGGAACTTGCGGACACTAACACGCTCACTCTCGGTTCTAAACAAACAAACCTCGGCGCCCCGGGACACCTCGCCAGTGAGTCCTTTGACTTCCCTCCTTGATGCGCGTCTGCTAGTTTTAGACAAAAACAACGTACCGCTTGAGTTATTTCGTCTGCCCTCTCTTAAAGGCGAAGTCGAGTTCGCCCCGAAAGTCGCAGGAAAGGTAAGACAGGCGCAGATGACGTTGCGAGCAGACGACGTTGCAAAGGAGCAGACGATGCTGAGATAGGGGTACGCGATCAGCCAATCAGGGCTCGGCGTTCTGACGTGGCCGCTACTTCCTTTATCATGCGCAGAAGACGAAAATGAGCCCACTTGCGAGGCGTATTGAGGTTCGACTCGTGTGCGCATGCGCGACAGGCTGGCCAGTTGGCTTCGGACTGGATGGTGATGGCTAAGGGATGAATTAAGGGCAGCGCTGATTGGTTATTTCAGTTAATACAGTACAAAAAATTAAGTTATTAACTTCTTCAGTGATTTGAATTGGTTTCTTTTAATTGCAACTGTTCATAAAATCAAATAACCCATTGCATAAAAAAAAAAAAAAATTTCTCCAGACCTAGACATGCCTGTGTCAAGGTCTGGCCACAATGTCCACAAAGTCAAACCGGTCCAATCTGGTGAAAAGTTCGAAGGTTCGTTGAACCGGTTCGACCCAGTCGAACCCCAAATGTTCGACCTAAGAATCCGGTTCGATAAAAGTTTGCGACACCCCTAGTTCAAACCTTTCCTTGAGTAATGGCAGTCGAAATATGAAAGCAAATATAACAACTGCTTACCTTCTTTATCGTTTTCTGTCATTCCCAAGTCCAGTGGTCGAAAAAAAGCCATTTTCTATTTCCCGCGTAGCCTGTACTTCGTTCCAAGATTCATTTGCTTTTACAAGATCGAGGTATGATATCTATCAAACGCTAACACGATACACATTTTTATACCATAAAATAATTTTAAGGTGACTTAGTTTGCAGTGAAGTTTTTCTTTTTATTATGATTTTCAGTAAAAATAATTTTAAGAAGTCTCAGTTTCGTACTCATTCTGGTTTCGTTTTCACCTCCCGCCACGGAAACCGTTTACACTATTGAAAACAATTGAGAATCATTCGCGAGAAGACTTTCTTGGACTTCCTAAACAAGGGAACTTGAAAACGTCCTCAAGACATCTTTCCCGACGACGTGACGACGTCTTCGTCGGGACGAAGGCGTCTCGACCAGCAGAGGACGTTCTCAGGAGTGATACAGCAGATACAGGGCCCAAAGTAAAGGTGTTCGGCTTTCCCAAGGATGAAGTGCTACGGAATGCTTGGATAAGCACTGTCCCTCAAGAAGACCTCGTTATTTCGAAGGGGACAAAGGTCGGGAATTCCCATTTTCGTCTAGGTGGCTTTGTTAGTTTGAACGGGATTCAAATTTCCGGCAGGGAACAAGGAGGTAGCTACGTTTGCCGTTATTCTTGGTCATTCTGTTGTTTTGCATGAACCCCCAAATGGTCCTCTCGGTGATTATTTCTCCACGACCCGGTGACAGATGCAAGGTGTAAAGTGAAATCAATTTATAGCAGTGAGTAACAGAATGACCAGCTAGATGGCGCAAGCTTTCACCGGTTACAGCGGATGTAGCCATTGTCTATTTAATATTTAGCGATTTAGCCATCCACACAGACGCGTTCACTGCGTTGACCACTAGTGCAACCGCTGCTCGCTGCCTGTCAGTAACTTTTGTGTTCACGTTTCTTGTTGCGAACTTGCAGTCGTAGTGTTCATGAGTTCCCTGGGCGTCTCCGCGGCGATACAGTTGACCCGAACATGCCGTTGAAGTGCAGCGTGCCTGGGTGTCGTGGCAACTACACGCGGGAAACCAAGGCGCGCGTCTTTAAGTTTCCCCATGACCAAGAGTTGCGGGCAGCGTGGATACGGGCTATACCGCAAAAAGATTTCGTTCCTTTAAAGTGCTCCACGGTGAGAATCTTCCTGTATTTTACAATGGTTGCGTGTGTAACAGGCTGCGAAACAAGTAGCAATGAAGTCTCTTCTCGAATGGGAATCTTCGCCTGCCGTTTGATCTCGCATACTGACAGCTAGCTCTCATCAACTCAAAAACCATTTTCTTTTCTCTCTCTCTCTCTCTCTTTTTAGGTCTGCGAACTTCATTTCACGGAGAGCGACATCCTTCGGGAGAGTACACATACAGACTTTGCTACCGGGCGCGTGATTACGGTGCCGTTGTTGACAGCCCGCCTTCGCCCGAAAGCAGTTCCATCCAAGTTTTCTGAGGACCTAAACTCCAGGAAAGCTCGTTCACGGCGAAAGCGTCTAGGTGCTGCTGCAAGAGAGAAAGCGGTCGCAGAGTCCATTGATAATGTGCTCGAGGCGGTTCGCAGTGAGGGGGAAACTGACAGAAACTTAAGCGTAACGGACAAAAGGCAACTGCGGCCAAGGCAAAAACGTCAGTATGTCGATGCAATGCACGACGAAGACCCCATCGAGACTGCACGTAAGACATCTTGCAGTCAGGAAGAAACAAATGGGAAGGGCAGTGTAAAAGACCAAGATGCAGGACGAAGGCATCCGAGGAAAAGCCGTCCAAGGCAAGAGAGTTCAGATTCCGATTACATGCAACCAGATGTGAACATGTCTAGCAGCGAGGAAGACGCAGACGGGATGCTCAATGAGAAAGACCCTAACTGGAGACAAAAGCGTCCAAGGCATACGAGCCGGGATTCTCATGACATCCAAAGAGCAATTAACGAGTCCCTTGAAGAAGCAGACAAAATCCTTGATTTAAAAGATCTAGCCGACCATGTGAGAAATAAACAGTGTTCCACATTCTGGCACGCTGTTGAAGGCAGTGCACGCCTCCTTTTGGTGCACATTGTCGAAGATGAAGCACCATGGATCAAGTACTCTGTTGTGCTGAAAACGGACCTCACTCTTACCTGCCATGTCGCTAAGACGCCGGTCACCAGGCTAGGATCCAGTCTGTGCATTCCAACCGCCGTGAAGAGCAAGAGGGCATTGATGGAGCTCCTTAAGAGCATAGAGAATTGGGACAGCAGCCTCAGCTCCACGTCTGACAGTTTAGATGAAGACATTGGTGAGGCTGTTCATCTGCTGCCTGGCAAGTCGACCGCAACACCGACAGAAGACAAGGCCGCTGCCATCCAGTTCCTCAGAGAGCAGTTCAATCTACTGTCAACCAAAAAAGAGCGAAGGCGTTACTCAGTTGACTTCATGGTGTTCTCCTGCATCCTCTTCACAATATCACCTCATGCATACAAGTACATCTGCAGCTCCGGCAACATTAGTCTGCCTCACCCGATGATCATCAGGTCGGTATGCCTGTCCTTCGGGATGAATCCCCAGCTTTTGCCTCAAAGTACAACGTTCCTCAGGTATGTGGCAAAGAGGATCTCTGATCTGGACGATAAGCAACGCCTTGTGACCGTCATGGTAGATGAGGTCCACATTAAACCTTTCCTTGATTACAAAGGAGGCAGCACTACTGATGTAGCTCTTAACTCCCCGGAAGTCGCCAGCAGTGTGCTTGTTTTTACAGTGCAAAGCCTCACGTGCCAATTCAAGGAAGTTGCGCACATTGTTCCCATGCAACGGGCCGACGCACAGTTTCTGCACAAGTTACTGATTGACTTGATTTGTGGGCTGGAGAAGATTGGGTACAGGGTTGCATGTGTCGTAAACGATGGCAGCTCCGTCAATAGAGACGCAATGTCTCACTTCACATCGCCGCCAAATGAAGGAATTGTCTATCCGCACCCGTCTGATCCTGCAAGACCGCTTTTCTTTGTGATAGATCCTGTTAACATACTCAAGTGCATTCGTAACAGTTGGCTCGACCAAAGCAATGACCTACTTTGCTTCTATTTTCCCGAGTTCTACGCCGAGCCAACACGTGTGCAGCGTGTGCTGTCCGCATCTTTTGCAACCATCAGAGATCTGTACAACTTGGAGAACTACCAACTGGTGAAGTATGGCTACAGTCTATCAAGGGAAGCCCTGTGTCCGGTGAACACTGAAAGGGAGAATGTGAAATTGGCTTTGCAGATCTTCAACGACTCGCTGCCAAAGGTCCTTCGTGCCCTCGGAGCGAAGCACAACCTGCGGTTCTTTGAGGAGACAGCCAGTTTCATCGAAATCATAGTGAAGTGGTGGAGAATCGTGAATGTCAAAGCTCCAGACACGGGAACGGCATTAAGAGACCAGTTCCAAGAACCAGTGTTTCCTTCGGAGGACGATCCCAAGGTGGATTTCCTCTACAAGTTCCTGGACTGGCTGGACGAATGGAAGGGCAAGGACCTTGACAGTGGGACGCTGACCAGCGATACCCACGCTGCTCTCCAGCACACGACTCATGCATTGGTGGAGGTCGCCAGGTACTGCTTCACCGAGCTCAAGCTGTCTTTCATCCTTCTGGGGAAGATTCAGACCGACAACTTGGAAGAGCGCTTTGGAAACTCGAAACGCCCGGCCGGCCCCCGATATCACAACTCCATAAGGCAGTTTCATGAGGATGAAGGTGAATTACAGCCACAAGACAGTCTGCCGACAGTCGCTGCGGCCTGCGAAACAGAAAATGAAGGAGATGAGCAATGGGAAGACCTCCACAAGCGAGAACACACGTTCCACCCTGGCAACACCGTAGGGGTGACCGGAGAGGCTCTGTCAAAGTTGGAAGACACCCTCCCGGTTCTTGTCTACGTGGCTGGATATGCAGTCCATGCCACCCTGGAAAGGCTGAACTGTGTAAAGTGCAGACCAGTATTGTCGGTAAACAAGGCGATCACCATTTCTGTTGCGCAGCAACACTTCAAGCTTGTCAAGGAATTGGGCGGAAAAGGTCTTTTTCCAACAATGTTTGCTATAAACGCTGTTGCACACAGCTACATTGTCGCTCAGGAACTGTCGAAGCAGGCCGAGTTTCTGAAAATGCCGAACCAGCGCCAGCTTGTCACCGACCTCACGGTGGATCTCCTAACCAACGGGGAGTCTTCGGACTTCGACGTCTGCGAAGACGGACACACTGCTGAATTCGTGCTGAGGCATGTGTTATGGTGCAGCACAAGCATTTTGCTGAAGAACTTCTTCTGCAGGATGAACAAGAAAGCACTCTTGGTGGTGCTAACTCGTGTCGATGTAAATTAAGAACTTGAATTAAGTACTGTAAGATGCAGAGACCATCATAGTACCTACTTGTGTAAATATTCATTTCCTTAGTTCCACGAAAACTTAGTGTGCTCCACGCTAACTGACATCTCTAAATAACTATTCTTTACAGGTTTTCATACCTCAAATCTAGACCATAAAAACCTGTTTTTCCTTTACGATTCAGGTTGTTGCTACGATGGTGCCTCTCCAAGCAGTTCCTTTATTTCTTGTGATGTCGCCTCTCCCTGCTGGCAGTCATTCCTACTTGCTCTTTCAGACAACAAATTTTGTGATTCAAAATATATGCTGCAACATGTATGCATCACTAGATAGGATTCCTCAGTACAAAAAATCCGTCTTGGGTAGCGCACTGCCATTTTGGGACCATTTCACAGCAGTTTTTTTTGGCCACTCCACGCCGAGTGGGCCGAACCAAATTCACGATAGGTTGTTCCATAAATCTTGTCTACCGACGTCTTTGTACGCCTGCAATTGATCACTTTATCCAAGCAGCGATCATTCTTTATTTATCTCCAACATCAAAACTTGCAGATAAGCTTTTTCCCTTTGGTGTTAAAAAAATGATGTTTTCCTCCCCCCCCCCCCCCCCCCCCCCCCCCCCCCCAAAAAAAAAAAAAGAGTGCACGGGGGTTTACGCTCCCTCAGCTCCACTCGAGGTGCTGAATTTTGGGGGTGGTTGCACTTTTGTACATCATTTTTAAGATAAGAAAGAGGGAGGAAAGATGTTTTCCTTTTGGAGATTGGTGCAGATAAAGGGTTGAGCAATTGATTGCACATGCAGATTCAAAGAGGACGACGTCGAAAGACTCCTTCGGTGCAATAGCGCATCGTCGCAATTTAGGTGTGGCTAGTTCGGTGTGGGTCTGAATTCCTTAGAAGAAACTGCGCTGCCAACTGCAACAAAACAGGTTGTCGTCAAAGCGAAAATGCAGTACTCTAGAAACCTTTCCAGCGATGACTCCGCTTCACCTTACGATGGACCACACATGACGCCATGAGCCGTCAAAGCCAATCCGGTGTTGCACAATCTCGGAGAGAAGGTGCAGTAATGTGCTGGGCACGTAGTCGCACGATACGTTGCAGTAGGGTGCCTTCATGTGCGCTTCGCATAGAGTGATGCCAACTGCCTGTTTCCCTTTCCCCCGCCGCCATTTTGTTCCTCATTGTTTCCCCGTGCGTTTCCCGTGCGCCGGAAAGTGGCCTTTGTGTCCATCGGTCCCCCCATCCGAGGGGGGAAATGCTAATCCTCCCTCCGTGGGTTCCACAACGCTGCTCCGAACTCGTGAGATAAGGTGCTTGTTTCCGGGAGGGTTATAAGCCCCACGGATTATCGCCGAGACCAAAATGGCTGCTGGTTTGTCGGCGAGTGGTATTACAAAGGGTGGCACCACCCTAGCAAAGCGCACATGAAGGCTCCCTACGTTGCAGCATTGGATTGGCTGCGACAGCTCGTAGCTTCCGCTGAGGTCCGTCATGAGGCAAAGCGGAGCGTAGAACACGCTCGGCAGCGTGGCCACTACAGTGACGCTCGACGCTACATCGGCGCAGCACCCCTCGGGAGCACTCCAGCCTTCTCTCGTCTAGGGGTCGCCGGTGTAGCGTCGTTGGGACGTCGAGTTTGAGGGAAGAAGACCGAAAGTTGCAATACGTACGGCAACAGACTGAAAATCGCTTGGAATTCGCAACACATAAGAAAGCAGTTCGACGCCATTTTTCGAGCAACGAACTAGGCGCGAGTATTTATTGCTCAAAAGTTGCAAATATGTTTTTGATGAAATAAAGGGGTATAGGTGGCCAAGTGTGACGAATCAATGCACTACAGCTGGAAACATCTGTATTGAAAGCTAGCACTGCAGAAGCCTGAGATCCTGGGTTAGAGCCCCACCCCTGAACACTCCGATCTGGACAACACTCGTCCTGCTGTATCATCGTGTGTCGCTACCGTGTCGTGCACATAAAAAGACCCGAGGTTAGCAGTGGTACTGAACAGGCCGAATTTCTCGTCTACAGCAGAGACGCTGGACGCCCGTTGGGGCTTCCTGCCGTCTAAACATGCGCCACACAACTATGAAACTACTATTGCGATTCACGGGCACTAAATGCTAATTTTTCGTCAAATAGCGTGGAACAATTTTGGCGCCTTTTTAATTTTGCGTCCTTTTCAGTTTTTTTGTGTGTGCTTGTGTTCCAACCTTGAGTCTTGGCATTGTTCCTGTGGTCGCCGACGGGACGAGAAGTGCAGGCCGCCTATTTTGAATGTCCGGCCCCCAGCACATGTTTGTTGCCTGCCATCGTGCTTTGGCTGTGCGTGCATGCATAAAGCTTTCGAGACGCCCAAGCATTTTCAAAGGGGAGTAGTTTGTGCTAGAGGCACGACAACTATAGCAGCTTCCTGCCGTTCTCATCGTGTCGGTGGCAAACCTGAAAAGAGAAAATTTGTCTTTTTTTCGTTGTTGTTTAACTGGTTGCGACTAGCTTCGTCCAACACCGGCAACCTTTGCATATTCGCTCACTGTCCAAGTCGCTGAAGCAGTGACTTCTGGTTCTGTAGCACGAATCATTAAAATCAACAGCAGTAACATGAACATTTGCTGAAAATTCAGAGATTATTGAAATTGTTTTTGTTAGATTCTCCAAAATTCGGAGTTTGATTCTGCAGTGTAGACTTTTTCAAAAGTAAAAATAATATTGGGGTGGAAAATATCTGTTGGATGAAGACGAAAACACATGCACCAAATACTATTCATCTGGATTTGAAGTTGGCACCCTTGCTATACACGACTTGCACAGACGTCACTTGGTCAGACAATGGGGAAAAGGACACGTGAGAGGGTAACTTCTGCGTTAATGAGCTCTTCTGGCCACCAGAAAGAGGGGCAGACTGCCGTCACGTGCACGCCGTATGTTGGCAATACCATTCTGTCCTACGACAAAGCTTGCAAAGAGTTACTTTGATGAACGTTGATACTTTAAAAGGATTAGCTGCTGGTTAGCTCGTTTTAATCTCATCCTATTCAATCTCCCTACCCCACGGCTGTTCGGGGTGGACTGGTAACGGGTGCAGTATACAGTCGACTCTCATTAATTCAAACTCCAGGAAGTCACAGATTTTAGTTTGAATCATCAGAAATTCATCTAAATATACTAGACATGATTTTTTACATAGATAGTTACACATGCAAAGCAGATTTTTGCCAGCTTCCTCTATATAGGCCTAACTAAGCAGGTACAGGCATAACAGATTGGTGAAAGAACTGTGACGTTAAGTTTATTCATCCGGCAAAAAAGTTGTCGATTGTGGACTGTTTAGTCGGCGCATGAGACCTCAAAACAAAATTTTCAATACCAGCCAACACAAGTAGCTCTTTAGGGGACTCTTCCTTTGCAGACCAACTTCCGGAGCTGAGCGATGTGCTCAAAGGCCTCTGCGGCTGTGACAGTTGGTAGTGGGTCATCCCTTTCTTCATCGTCATCTTCAGTCTCACTGTTGCACTGTGCTGGCATTACTTCCTGTACTATGTCCTCTAATGAGTCAAGACAAAGACACACATCGTCGTCAAGACTAGCATATTCCGCCTGCTCGGTGTTCACATTATGTGCTTCAAGGCCAGAAAGCATGATGCCAGTGAACTGTTCCTCATCCTCGATGTCGTCTTGGTCATCATTGCTAGTCTTGAAGCACATAATGTGAACGCAGTTTTCCGCTAATGTGTGCCCGCTTGAGCCCCGTTGAGTGCGCTTCTTTCCGAGCACCGGTGCACTGTGGAGAAGCAACACTTGCAAAAGCAAGCTCCGCGGGTATTGCTGCTCTGCGGTGCACCGGTGCTCGGAAAGAAGCGCACTCAACGGGGCCGCGAAAACAAAAAAAAATACGAATTAAACGAAAACACCGTTTGAATTAAGCGGCTTATGAATAAATTAAAAACATAGCGGGACAACCAAAATTTTCAAATCTGTTTGAATTAACCGGAAGTACGAAATATCTGAATTTGAATTATCGCAAGCCCACTGTACAAGCTTCAACGTGCCCTCCCTTCTATGAAATCTATGGTTCATAGATTTCATGGTTACAAAAACACAACCCCTGCTTCCTCTAAGGAGCATAATTCGTATGGCTCAAACTGGAAATCAGAACAGTGGCTTTTGTCGTGACCCAGAAGTACAATGACCTGTTGTGCTGCATGAACCTTCTGGAGATAAACGGTAGGACCCCTTTTCATTAATGATGCGAGAGCTTAAAAGAAACTGGGATGGCATTTTCTCGGGACTATTTACTCTGTGCACTGACCAAACTTAATTGTAAAATATTTTCTCCTTTTTGTTTGTTTCTGCAACGGGACGTTAAAATTTTCAGTTTTTCAGATAAATCTGAATTGACGAAAATTTTACCGGCAAGTATTTTTCCGAGTTTTTCTCGGAAAGACACTTAATATTACTAGGGCTCTGTGTTCCGAGAACACTAAACCCTAGTTAAGAATCAGTAAAAACGAGTTAATTTTCTGTGGACTTGACTCATTTACTTTTGAACTTCTATGGAATATTTTGGATCCCATGCATATCATGGGAAACAAAGCAACTGATGCTGGACTGAATCAGTCCTGCTCTAGATCTGTCTAAAACAAGTGACGCCCGTAGAGGTGGGCAACTGTCACTGCACTATCTTGTGGAGTTGTGAGCCAAGCCATCTGCCACAGGCAGTCAACCAAAAGTCATTATCTTCGAAATATACTTTTTACATTACCACAGGCCAAAAAATTTGAGGGTTTTAAGTGCCAAACCTACGGCGGGCATCTGGCACGCCCCAGCGGAGGACTGAGGATTAATTTGGACCGCCTGGGTATCTTTTGACGTGCAACCGAAAGCTCGGTTACACAGCGCCTTCTCCGCAATAAGCCTCCGTCATATTGCGGGCACCTCGGTCGGGATTCGAACCCGCCACCTGGGATCCGTAGGCCGGCGCTCTCGCCTCGGAGCGACCGAGGCGGCTCATTACCACAGGCGCCATTCCGATTCCAACCAGAAAGAAGATCCCGATGCCTTAACCGCATGACCCCCCCCCCCCCCCCCCCCCTTCCCCCGATGCTGGGATCTTTGCCGCATCATACAGTCTGTTTCACCCTTTCAGAGGTCCAGGTCCATGGTGGATTTTTTGTGGGTCAACTCTCGAACAAATAAGCCAGACTGGAGTTGACGGAGAACCTGAAGGGCGTCGGCCATATTCAGAGAATGGGCAGCAGCCCGGTTGGCGCCTTGAGCTGTGCAGTGAAACCAGTCGGTGGCAAAGCAGGCCTGGGACCCTAATCTGGACACTTGGGAAAAAGTCGGTCAGAAATCCGGCGGCCATGATTGGCCCACGCCGCACTTGACCTTGGCGCCGGTCAATCATAGCCGCCGGATTTCTCACCGACTTTTTCGCCAAGTGTCCAAATTAGGGCCTTTGGTGGATTGGGCTGGCAAGGCGTAAGGGCCAGCAGATTTCCGGCACTCCGCAGCAGGCACGGGAGACGCTGCTCTGCCTCGTTGCACACTGCCCACAGCTCTGCCAGGCAACGCGGTCCTGTTGCGGAAAGAGCTTTGCAT